CTCATGGCCACTCTCCATATGCTTGGGCCAAACCTCACCCACAAGTGAACCTATTCCTGACCAAGCTACACTTCGTGCCACACACCCCACTCATATTCCAAGAGTACCACACCACATTTGATGGGGTTTAAAGTAGTAGGCAACCAATCTTAGAAATATTTTTTTTTTTTAGAGAGAGAGAGAGATATAAGCACACAAGGCTCAACCTTTAACAACATGTTAGTGATCTCTTATAGAAGGGCTTAATGGCCCCTGTGTGAAATACAACAATCCTCACCTTCTTTCCTCTAAGGATACTTTTTTGTGGCATTTTCATTGTTTTTTCATAACAAACAATACAAAATATATTATTCTCATTCGCTTTGGGACATGGATTGGGGTTCAGGTTGGAAACATCCAAAATATGGTGGTGGGAAGGTATAATGGTTGTGGGATTGGTGTTTGAATATTAAATGTTATCAAATATTGTGAACTATTTTATAAAATAAAATAAAGAAATTAGGGTTCTCCAGAGAGACAGAACCAATAGGATTTATTTTAAGGAATTGCGCACTTAATTGGGATGGGCAGATCTGAAATCTGGAGGCAGGCTAGCAGTCTGGAAACTCTAGGAGTTTAATATTATTGTGTGAGGTAGAATTCTTTCTCTGGAGAAATCTGCTTTTTCTGTGATAACCTTCATTTGCTCTTAAGACCTGCAATCAGATGAGTCCTGCCCATATTATGAACATAATCTGTTTCAAGTAAAGTCAGCTGATTGTGGATGTTAACTGTATTTGTAGAACACCTACATGGTAACAACTAGATTACTATTTGCTTAAATAACAAGGTATCATAGCATAGCCAAGATGACACAACAAAACTGACCATCATAGGCACTTATCTGTGATTTCTCTCTTTTGCAGTTTTTATTTGAGCAAAACAAATACATACTTCTATGTTATTAGAAAAGTCAGTATTGACAACAGAATAAAATTACTTTATCACCTTAAATGCCTACATATTACATAATTTTCTTTTTGTTTTTTAGATCACACCCAGTGGTGCTCAGGATTTACTCCTGGCTCTGTGCCCAGGGATCACTCCTTGGCTTAGGAGAGTGCAAACTTAGCATGTTAGGGAACCCCTGGTTTGATCTCTGAGCACTAAGCCAAGGGTATCCCCTTGTAAACATCATCCATAATGGTATGCTGAGCTATAATTGATATGTAATCAGAACTGACAAATCCATAAAGACTGAAAGTAGATAAGTGGTTGCCAGAGGCTGAGTGGGAAGGGGGGTGGGGAGTGACTGATATAAAGGATGTGTATTGAGGATGACCAGAATGTTCTGAAATCAGAAAATGGTTGCACAACTGTGAATATACTAAAAACAACCCAATGAATTATATAGAGTGGTTGGATTTTATGGTATGTAATTTTTCTTTTTTTGCTTCATTGGGTCACTCCCAACAGTGCTCGGGTTTCTCCTGGCTCTGCACTCAGGAATTACTCCTGTTGGTGCTTGGGGAACCATGTGGGATGTGGGGATCAAACCCAGGTCAGCCACCTGCCAGGCAAACTCCCCACCCGCTGTACTATCATTCTAGCCCCCCTCAAAATGGTTTTAAAAGATCTGCAGAGTGCCAGCCCTTTTTTGCCCCAGAGCTTCAGGTTTTGGCCTAAACTTTGTTCTGAGGCTATTTTAATATTCTCCTGGTGCCTGCTTCTTAGTTAGAGTGTATATTAGAATATGTTAATTATGACTTGGTTACGTCAGTAAATAGCTTAATTCTCAGCTAAAACCTTGATCTACTTACATGGTTTCCTGCCAGACCTATGAAGTAGACCTGGATTTGATCCCTAGTACTGCATATGGCCTCACAGCCCTGGCAGAAGTGATCCCTGAGCACAGAGCCAGAAGTAAGTGTTGAACACAGTTGGGTGTGCCCACAAGTTGCCAGTCATCCATATTACTAATCTCTTAAAGTCCCGGGTTAGGGAGATAGACGTCTATCCTGAAATCAAATGATGTATTCATTGCCATATCTAGATTATAAACGAGTCCTGTGTTTTCTTGATGGGGGTCGGGGATGGGGTGGTGTGGAGTGTGGGTGTTAGGTCACATCCTGAGATGGTACAGGCATTATTCCAGGCCCTGCTCAGGAGTGACCATTGCAGTACTCATGGGACATATGCTGTTCCAGGGATGATCAGCCTCAGATCTAACCTGGTTGGCTGCATACAAAACAGGCACCTTAAGTCCTTACTCATCTTGTTTTATCTAATTAATACTAAATGTATATTGGTATTTTTCTGTCAGAAACCTTATAATATTGATTTCACATGTGAACCTATGGACTGTATTGTTGATAGGGACCGGAAGCTCATCTTGGTAATAAGTCTGTCGTCTTCCAAATCTACCTGACAGGAAGGCTGGAGTGACTTTGTGCCTCTGCTTATGAAGGCTTTTTATGTGTCTTACCATCTTGAGTCATATTCATGGTGAATCTCCATTAGGACTATGTGAGATTCTTGAATAATGACCTTATTGCTTGGGGTGCTTATAAACCAGGACAATTTTATCTGTCTAGCTAGGTAAGCAAATCACTTCTATTTCTCCTTAGTCTTCCTTCCCCTCTCTACCTCTTTTTAATATTGGGTCCCGGTCCACTGTGAAAAGGCTCTACGGCTAATAAGTCACAAAAATAAGACTTATGAAAGAATCGCATCATGACTCAGCCAGGGAGACTGAGAAAGGAATCCAGATGCTCACTTTGGGTTTTCTCTCCTTTGCCATGTGTCAGGTCTCAGCATTGCTATCATGCAGGATTTTCAGGTTGGAGTGGGTAGGGCCTTCTCCCTTAGCCGACTGCTTGATTGGTAGGCTTAGTTGGAATTTACAGCCTGCTTAAAGATGCCATGTATTTGGAAGCTATATAGTCAGCAGGGGTCCTTTGACTTTCCTCCAGTTATTTTGTACTTTCCTTCTAGCACATTTTGGGGATTACTTTTTGGTTCCTGTAGTCCTAATTTGCTCTCAGTGATTTTTTTTTCTTTTTTTCTTTCCATTTTTCTTTTCCTTTCATTTTGCCATGCCTGGCAGTGAGCAGGGCTCACTACCAGATCTGTGCTCAAGGATTGCTCCTGGTTGGGCTCAGGGACCTTATACAGTGCCAGCCACATGCAAGTCAAGACCTTAACCCTAGTACTATATCTGAGTCCAGTGTTCCCTTTTTAATGAGTAAAGCCTCAGATTCACTGATTGAGAATGTCATCTGCCTAATGAAATGAAAGAAGGAAAATTCTTCATTGATTTAATGAATTTAACTTAAATTCACCCAAGAGATGAATCATCCTGGTCTGAGTTATTAGCTTTATCATACTTTAATAATACTGATATTAATAATACTGATAAAATAGAATTCTTTTTCTTTCAAAGGTCACGGTAATACTATTCTAGTTTTACTCATCCTGTGATGCAGTTACACAGAAAACCAAATTCAAAGAACGCCATCTGTGCCTGAATAATGTTAGCACTTTTTTTTTCTTTTTGGGTCACACCCAGTGATGCTCAGGAGTTACTCTTGGCTCTGCATTCAGGAATTACTTCTGACAGTGCATGGGGGACCATATGGGATGCCCGGGATTGAACCCGGGTCAGCTGTGTGCAAGGCAAACGCCCTACCTGTTGTGCCCCTGGCCCCTAATGTTAGCACTTTCTGGGTGATAAGGAAATCTTGTCTAAAATAATATGTGTGTGGTCAGGGAGGTGGCTCAAGGGGCTGGAGCACTTGCTTTGCATGCAGAAGGCGCCGGTTCAACCCCTGGCACTGCATGGTTGCCTGGACACTGCTGGGAGTGACTGCTGAGCAACAGAAAACTGGGAGTGGCCTCTGAATACTGCCAGGTGTGTTACCAAAAAAAGACTGGGTGGCAAATTAATATTCAACAAACATAAGAGCTACTGTTAAAACTTACAGGTAATTGAGTTCTAATTGCTGAATTTTGAGGTGGGGGGGCGTGCTGGGGCAAAAGGGGACAGAAGTGGGAGTGACCCACACCTGGTGGTGCCCTGGGGCTGTTTCCAGCTCAGTGTTTGATGGGGGATCAGGCAGAGCCAGGGATCTTTCCTTGTTTTCCTGTATCCAAGAGTGCACTCCTCGAGTTGAGGTGTCTCTAAAACCTCGTTGTAGTATTTTTTTTAAATGCATTTTAGGGACCAAAGATAGATAGTTCAGCAGGTAAGGCCCTACCCTTGCCCACAGCTGACCCAGGTTTGACCCCTGGTACCGTGCATGAGGTCACCTGAGCACCTTCAGGTATAGCCCAAAAACAAAACAAAAAAAGAACCAAAATATAAGTATTTTAAGTATGGTTTGCTCCCTAGCCTTTCCAGTGGGCAAAGTAAAATCTCAGCATTTCATGTTGTAAGCAAAATGCCTATGTAGCTAAGAGTATGTATTAGAAAATAACGTAGAGTGGGGGATTCAGAGAGAAAATTTTGTTTGAAGTTTGATTTTGAAATATTTTGTTATGAGGAAGGCTAATTTTTAAGTCAGGATTTTAAGAAAAAAAATGTTCTAAATATTTTTCTTTTCTTTCCATAGTACATCTGGCCAGTTACATTTGGGAGAAAAAAAATAGCCTGGAAATAGTTTCTCTGAAATGTTCACAAAGACACTCTGCCGCTAAAAATGATCATATATACTAATACTGAGTCTGGTATTTTATAGCTAAGGTTTAGTGTGGATTACCTGATTACTTCATTATTGAGAACCTTTTTATTTTTAGTGAATGTTTAAATCTCTTTATAGCTTGACAGCATGCCTTACATCTCTAATAAACATTACCCTTATGTTTTTGTTTTGTTTTTCATGTAGGGATTGAACCCAGGTCTTAATATATGTGAAGAATGTGCTCTGTCACTGAAATACATCCCCACCCTTAAAAGAGGTCATATAAAAGAGACAATATATTTTTAAGACTGAATTCCTTGTGATTTTCCTTTTTATTTTCAGAAACGGTACAGTTTGGCGGTGGGTCCTCCCAAAAAAGACCCTAAAGTTAAGGGTGTTCAATCAGCAGCTGTACAAGCTTTTCTCAAGCGAAAAGAAGAGGAGCTCAGAAGAAAAGGTATTTATTTTATACCTTATTCTCAGTTTCAAAGCCTTCTGTTGTCACAACTGAGCAAGGTGTAACCAGTGAATATTTATAATAGTAGGTGAGGCTAATGTGTTGTATATGTGGCTGAATCAGCTGTAATATATAGCATTACAGAAGTTAGTATTTTTTGTTTTGGGGGCTACACTGATGGTGCTGAGGGCTACTGCTGTTGTAGTGCCTGGGGACCATATAGAGATACAGAACAAATCTGGGCCTCCTGCATGTGGAGTATTTCTTCCAGCCCTTTGAGTATCTTCCTGCTTCCCTATGTAAGTTCTTATATTGTCATTTGGGTATTATCTTTTATTGATTGATTGATGAATTGATAATTATATTCTCTAAGTGGCCATAGTAGGTCCCAAATTCCATTCTTTGGGTGCTGGAGATAGTACAGAGGGTTGAGGAGCTTGCCTTGCACATAGCTGACCTGGGTTCCAACTGCAGCATCCTATGTGGTCCCATGGGGTGTGACTCCTGAGCACAGAGCCAGTAGTAGCCCTTGAACACTTCTTAATATGGCTCAACAAACAAAGGAACCATTCTTTGATCTTGGTTCTGAAACTTAGTCTACTTAATTTTGTATTTAATTTTTTAAATTATTGAGTGCTGGCTAAAAAAAGGTAAAAAGGGGATACTTTCTAAAAAGCTGAAGGTGTAGAAATTGCTTCTACTTCAGGCATGTGACATTAAAAGTGATTGAATGAATTTATTCGTTGACACATAATTAACAATTATGTGTGCTAATAATACTCTAAAATTTAGGGAGTGGTTCTTGGAGGTTAACAAGGTTTATTCCTGGCTGTTGTGATCTCTCCTGGTGGTGCTTGGGGGGCTGGTGGGCGTGAGGGGATATTTATTTGTGGTACTGGGGATAGAACTCTGGTTCACTACATGTAAGGCAGGCAGTCTACCCATTGCACTATTGCTCCGACCCCAACTTAGTATATTTTGCATGATTTTTTTTATATTTAAAGCTGAAAAACCAAGCCTCATATTGCTTAGTCATATAGAAAAGCCCATATGTGGCCCTCTTGTCTGTAAAGGTGACACAACTGATACTTGTTCAAATGACTTCCTCTTTTGATTCCTAGATATCTCTGATCTGTAGCTAGAATATTGGTTTGAGTTTGGCAGCCTACTGATTGCAGATGAGCATGTTATTATAATTCTAGAAACCTTGAAATATGTCATTTGTTCCTTTTAGCCTTAGAGGAGAAAAGGAGAAAAGAAGAACTAGTGAAAAAGCGAATTGAGTTGAAACATGACAAGAAAGCGAGAGCTATGGCTAAGAGGACAAAGGATAATTTCCATGGTTACAATGGGATTCCTGTGGAGGAAAAGTCAAAGAAGAGACAAACAATAGAAAGCCATCCTAGCCAGGGGACAGATCAAGAGTATGAAATGGAAGAAGCAGATGAATTCTTCGAATACAGTCAGGCAGAATCTGAACAGGAATATGAAGAAGAACAAGAACCTCCCAAAGTTGAAAACAAACCAAAGGTCCCCTTTAAAAGTGCCCCGCCACTCATGAACTTCACAGACCTCCTCAGGCTGGCTGAGAAAAAGCAACACGAGCCAGTGGAGATCAAGGTCGTGAAGAAAATAGAAGAGCGGCCCATGACAGCAGAAGAACTTAGGGAACGAGAATTCCTAGAACGAAAGCAGAGGAAAAAGAAACCTGAGACAGATGCAAGACTACCTCCAACCAAGAAGGCCCCCTCGCAGAGAGAAGGTGTGAGCACAAAGCTTAGCAGAGGTTCTGGGGACAAGCACCCTTCTTCCAAGGGTGGACCCCTTCCTCCTGCTGAGAAGAAACCCAGACTCAGCACAGTCCATGAAAAACCTTCATCCAGATCTATTTCAGGAGAGAGGACCAAAGTAAGTTCTGGCAGTTGTTCCCAACGTTTACTTCAAGAAGGCCATGACAGAACTGTTTTCAACGGGGCCGGGAAGCCCCATTCTAGCACCAATTCACCATGTGTCCCAAAGATGTCTGCTAAAGGGACTCAGAAATCTGCTACTGAGCACAAAGCCAAAAAACTTCCACCCCAACCTATACATTCCCGACCTGCGTCCATGGTTACGCCACCCAGTAAGACTAAGAGTCCAGGTGTCAGGCAACCAGGCAGTGGCTCCAGTTTGGTCCCTGGGCGGCCCAGCACAGGAACGGGTCGGCCCATCACTAATTCTGGCTCCATACCCAAGCGCCAGAATGGCAGCTCTAGTTCAGGTCCTGAGCGACCAGTCATTGGGACCAAGAGGCCAGCCAGTGACTTCAGTCCCTCTGGACGGACAGTCAGGCCTACACCTGGCCCTGGACGACCTGCAGGCAGCTCAAGTGGCCCTGGGCGGCCTGTCACTGGCTCAGGTAGTTCTGGGAAGTGTATGGGCAGTTCTGGAGGCCCTGGGCGACCCATGAATAGTCCACATGATCTTCGGCGACCAGTGAGTGGTGCAGCCGGCCCTGGGCGGTCTGTCAGTGGCCCTGGGCGGTCAGTCAGTGGCTTAGTTACAGGTGGACGGACTGTCGGCGTTTCAGGCCCTGGAAGACCAATGAGCAGCTCGGGACCTGGGCGAACACTTAGTAAATCAGGTCCTACCCCGAAGCCCAAGTGCACTGTTGTTTCAGAAACAATTTCTTCTAAGAATATAATTAGCCGCTCCAGCAATGGACAGATGAATGGAATGAAGCCATCACTTGCAGGCTATAGATCTGCCCAAGGTAAAATTGCCTCTCTCTAACATGTACTTATCAAGAAAATTAGAAATCTTTGTTTTATATAACCAGAAACCCTGCCACCTCTTATGTAGCACTGTAGCACTGTTGCACTGTCCTCCCGTTGTTCATCGATTTGCTCGAGGGGGCCCAGTAACATCTCCATCATGAGACTTGTTACTGTGTTTGGCATATCAAATATATCACGGGTAGCTTGCCAGGTTTTGCCTTGCGGGTGGGATACTCTCGGTAGCTTGCCGGGTTCTCCGAGAGGGGCGGAGGAATCGAACCTGGGTTGGCCAGGCCAGCTGCTGTGCTATCACTCCAGTCTACCTCTTATGTACCCTTCAAAAAATTTTTTTTGACTTTGAGGTGTGCCACTTTGTAATTTAACATTGTATATGATAATCACCAAAATCTAGTTTTCTTCAAATATTATACAGTTGATTCTTTACCCATTTTACCTTCCCCTCTTTTGTTTCCCTGAGGAAACTACCATTCTCTTGTCAGAATCTTAAAATTTTTAGTTTATTTTTTGTATTTTGTTCAATTTTTTTCTACCCATTTTTTTTTTAATTTATTTATTGAATCACTGTGAGAACAGTTACAAAGCTTTCAGGTTTAAGTCTCGGTCATACAATGATCAAACACCATCCCTTCACCAGTGCATATTTTCCACCACCAAGAACCCCAGTATATCCCCCATCCTGCCTGTGAGGCAGATGATTTTCACTTAACTCTCTACTTTGATTACATTCATTATTTTGACAAAAGATGCACCACTATTATTTGGAATTTCTCCCCAACAATCACCTGCTGAAAAGGCATCATGTTTTCTATTGCTGGTTATGAAGAGCATATGCGGCGATTTTGGGTTTCTGATATTTTATTGATTAAGTTTGGAGGATTTCTGCCAAAAGCCTCAGAGTTCCGAGACTGGTTTGTGTGCCTCTGGGTCCATGGCCGTGCTGTAGAGCTGCTGGGGGGCAGGGGAGGGGGCGGGACTTGTAGTCTCTGCTTGTGGTCTCAGCGGGGTGGGAAGGATGTGCCAGTTCCACCCCCCCATCCCATGAGGCTGCAGTAGCTCATACCTACCTGGCTGTCCAATAGGCTCTGAGGCGGTGGCCACTGTTCCGCTGGGGGGGTGTGGGGGGGACGCGGGGTGGAAGAGACAGACACCCTTTCCCTCCCGGGGGTGCAAGGCGCTAAGCTTAATGCATACTCCATTCACATTCCTGCCAAAAGCTGCTGTCTACCCATTTTATTTTTTTTTATGGAGGTGAATGTGATTAATAACTGTTAATGACAGTTTCATGGCCCCCCTGGTCCATCACCACACCTACCACCAGTGTCCCCTTCCCTTTACCAGTGTCCAGAAGTACACACCCACACCCATCCCCAACTTACCTGCCTGGTCTATTTGTTCTTTTTCTATGAATGGAGTGATATTATATGATATGAATGTCTTCATCTGACTTAATTTACTTAAAAGAATCCCTTCAAGGCTCATTCATGTCATCACAGATTTCAGTTTTTTTCTGAGTATTGTCTACATGTACTGCCTTTTTTTCTCATCTCTTAATGCCTTTAATGGCCTCTTAATAGAATGCTGATGTTTTGTCTATTAGACCTGAGAGTTTCATTATCAATGGTTTGAAAAATATTTTAAGAAGACACTTGCCCAGGTTCCTCTGTTTCCCTCAGTTTATCAATGTGCAGTAAGTTTTAGAACTTGTGAGACAAGATGAATGTCTTGTCTTAGATATAATACCAAAAATAATTCTTTATATTCCTTATATAATTCCATGGATGAATTCATCCTAACATTTTCATGAGGACTAAAAACCTGTGTTCAGGGATTGGAGAAACTTTGTAAAGTTACAGTCTTTGGGTACATTTATTAAGTACCTGCTGTGTGCTCAAAACCATTTCAGATGTCCTCGGTAGTACCTACTAGTTGCCAGGTCATCATTCTTCATGTTAATAAGCGTTTGTTAAAACGTGTTCAAAGACAGTTTTGTTTCGTTTAGCTGCTGAAAATTAAAACCAGGCTGTACTTTCCCACTGAGCCATGTACTTGGCACTTAAAGACAATTTTTTTTCCCTAAATCCTTTTTTTTAATCTTTTTTTTAAATCACTATAAGGTAGTTACAAAGTTGTTGGTGATTGAGTTTCAGCCATAATATGTTCCAAATCGCATCCCTTCATTAGTGTACATTTTCTGTCACTGATGTCCCCAATCCTCCCCCTCCCATCTCGCCTCTATGACACACACTTCATCCTCCTCCTCTCCCTCTCCTTTTGTGTCTCCCTCTCCCTCTCCCTTTCCTTCTCCTTCTCCCTCTCCTTCCACCCTCCCCCATCCACTCCTCTTCTCTCTCTTCCTCCTTTATCTCCCAACCCCCAACCCCCAGCTTTTCCTTTTAGGCACTGTGGTTTGCAGCACTTACTGAAAGGTGATCATTTCCAAATATCATTGTCATAGTAGTCTCTTTTGCTCTCCTAACCACACTCCCCACTTTCCTCCCCTCCTCCCAACACACAGATCCTTTGTGGTAAGCTCCCTACCATGGACCAACCCTCCTGATGCTTTAGGACAGTTTTGATCCCCAGCAAACATCTGTGTCTGGAATTTTTATATACATTTATTAACACCTAATGGTACTTAGGTACATTGGGGTGCTGAGGATTGAACATGGGACCCAGGCTTTTTTTTTTTTTTTTTTTTTTTTTTTTTTTTTTGGGACCCAGGCTTTTTCTTACTGGGTTTTTTGTTTTGAGGCCACACTTGTTGCTCAGGGCTTATTCCTGGCTTTATACTCAGATCACTCCTGGTGGGCTTGGGGAACCATAAGGGGTGCTGAGACTCAAACCTGGGTTTACTACATGCAGGGCAGGTACCTTACCTGAGTATCTCTCTGGTCCTCCTGAGCTCTCTCTGGACCTGGAGTTTATGGTTAGTTCTGTTTTTTAGACGGTACTACCCGGTAGTACTCAGGACATTACTCCTGACTCTGTGCTTAGAAATCACTCCTTGTGGATACCATAGGGGTGTCTGGGAAAGAACCAGAGTCAGCCACATACAAGACAATTGCCCCACCCACTGTACTATTGCCATGTACTGTTTTTGTGTTTGGTTGTTGTTTTATTTTGGGGTCACATCTGAATGTGCTTAGTGCTCCAGAGACCATAGGTATTTCCAATATCAAACTGGGGTTAGCTGCATGCAAAGCAAGTGTCTTAACCCCTGTACTCTCTGTAGCTGTCCTACAATACTGAATGTATTGCCCTGCAATATAGAACAGTCTCCCCAAGGCAAAGAAATAGTCAGCCCACAATGACAGTAGTACTCAAGTTGAGAAACCAAGCTAAGGGAATTAGTTGTGCGTATTAAAAGCAACTATGAAACAGAGGATTGCCGCCTTTGTGTTGCCCGTTTACTTTGGAAGCTAGTGAACGTGGTGTCAAGAAAGGCGTAAAGTAGCCCTTGGCAGGGTTTTCCTGCCTGTGATCCTGCTATCTCAGGCACAGGAACTGCACAAGGAACAGGAAAAAAAAACAAAAGGATTGTAAAGGGCTAGAAAGTATTGTTCCCTTGTTTGTCTATTGATCAGTGGCTGTCTTTTGCAAAGGTTTAATGTCATTAAAATTTTTTTTTTATTGGGGGGCTGTGGGGACACACCTAGCTTTGCTCAGGGGTCACTTTTGGTGATGCGGGAGATCAAACTGCACATGCACCAGGTTGGCCTCATGCAAGGCATGTATCTGCTGCACGATCTTTTTTGTCCTCTTCAAAGTTTAATCAATCATTTGGTAAGATTACAAAAATAGAGTGCATCAGTGAGTTTTTCCTAAGCCCATGTACTCAGTTTGAAAAGTGATCTAAAATTCAGAGATTCTTCTGCTCTGATGAACTTTAAAAAAACTTAGTTAGGGGCCAGATTGATAGTACAGCAGGTAGAGTGTTTGCCTTGCATGCAGCCAACCTGGTTTGATCCGGCACCGTCAGGAGTAATTCCTGAGTGCAGTGCCAGGAGTTACCCTTGACATTGGCAGGCGTGACCCCCCCCCCCCAAAAAAAAAGCCAAAAAAAAATCAAATTGTGGTGATAATAGATGTTAAATTGTTACTTTTGTTCTTTTGGTAAAAATGAAGTTTGTGATCTTGTCATTTTATATTATTTCAAAGGAAGCTGAATTGGTCTTTTAAATCCAGAAGAATAAGAATTATAAAGTTTGAAAACATAATAGTTCTAGTAAATCATGAAGCAGTAGGGATGGTGCAATTATGGCCCTATGCTCTGGGCCAGCTTTTTGGCTCTATTTTTTGAGGTTAATGAGTTCTCCAAGTCTCAGTTTACATAGAACTTTGTTGTGAGACTCTGTGTGTATCTGTTTTTAAATGCTTGTGTAAATAATGGCTTTTCTGGTAGGTCCTCAAAGACTGCCCTTCCCTAGTGGTTACAGAAGGCAGCGAGATTATGAAGAGGATGAGGAGGAGGAGGAATATGACTCTGAAATGGAAGATTTTATCGAAGATGAAGGAGAACCTCAGGAAGACATATCCAAGCACATTCGAGAAATCTTTGGCTATGACCGGAAAAAGTAAGGCTAAATAAGATTTGTATAAATAACATTTTATTTTGCATAGTTTGTTGTAAGGGAAAATAAAGATTAATAGACTATGCATTAAATGCAGTTCTTTTGTGGTTTGCTTTCTGGGTCACACCTAGTGGTGCTCAATGCTTACTCTGCTCTGGGGTGGACTTGGGGAACATTTTCTGTGTCCGGGATCAAATCTGGGTCAGCCATAATCAAAGTGTGTGTCCTACCCACTCTGTCATAGCTTCTGTCCCTAAATGTAGTTCTTAATTAGGACCCGCCAGTGAATATTTTAGATTTAGGTACTTGAATATCAAGATTTCAATCAAAATACGTATGTAATTACTTGGACAAGGGTCAAAACCCCTTTTAAATTGTCATCCTGCAGGGCTGGAGAGAGAGTAGAGGGTAGGGAGCTTGCCATTGCTCATAGCTGACCTGGTTTGATCCCTGGCACCCATATAGCTCCTGAGGGCTCTCCAGGAATAAGCCATGAGCACTGCTGTGTGTAGCCCCAAAACAAAATTGATATCCTTGTAAGAAGGTGCGGTTTTTTCGGTAGCAGGGAAGGGAAATGTGGAAGATCTCCCATGCAGAGGTCAGACGATTCCAGGGCTCCAGTAGAGATTTTTGATCACCTGGCCTGGCAGTTCAATGCAGGAGTTTGAGGGTGTGATGCAACTCAAACCCTGTGATGGCAGGAATTAAACCCAGGTTAGTGTATATTAGGCATGTGTCCTGGATGCTGTGCTATATCCCAGTCCTATGAAATGTATTTTTAATGAAGCAGCTTGATGTAGAAAATAGATTTTGAAGTCAGAAATTTATGCGTAAGTTGAAAGCTACTCTGATTTGACACCTGGTTTTTCTTTGGTGTAAAATGCAGTGACCCTTGGGGCTGGAGAGTTAGTACATGGGATTAAGGTATTCATCTTGTACACTGCCAACCCTGATTTGTTCTTTGCATAGCGTATGGTTCTGAGTACCACAAGAGTGATCCCTGAGCACAGAGCCAGGAGTGAGGCTTAAGCAACACTAGGTGTGACAACCCCCATCCAAAAAAAAAACCCCGAAAAGAATGTAGATTCTTTAGAAAATATTTAAAATTTAACATTTATTTCCTCTTAACAGGTACAAAGATGAAAGTGATTATGCCTTACGTTACATGGAAAGTAGTTGGAAAGAGCAGCAGAAGGAAGAAGCAAAGAGGTAAGCTTTTGTGCAGGACCCTCCAAAGATTCTCCTGTTTACTGCTTCAGTTGCCCTTTTGGGAGCCAACTTTAGAACCACAGAGCTCTGAATTCTAATCCTGCTCACTTTGTAGGGCTTAGACAAATTCCTTGGTCTTTATAAGTGCTTTCTCATTTGTAGAATAAAATGAGATGAGGCAATAGAGGATGAAGATCAAGAGTGTGAGCTACCTAGGGCCAGGCTTCACCCCTGCAGGCGACAGTAAATGCAGGTGGCCTCCCGGGATCCTGCTGTATCATGGTCCTTTCCCCATCCTGAATTCACTTTCCACATCACACACTGCTCAGTCTTAGACATGTTGCTAAGGGACTGCACAGTAGAGGATGTGAAATCCCGTGTGATTCCAATTTTGTCGACTTGATTAGAAACGAATCATTTCTGTGTAGTGTAACTGTTGACTACCTCAGACTATTAATGAAACAAGTTCGCCTCAGTCTCAACCCAGAACATTAAACCTCTTGCCTTCTCTAAGTAAAATATATGTTTTAGGAAATTTAATGGAATGTTTACTGAATAAGTGTCAGCTTTTTGGTTTTTGAGGTGGTGATGTTCAGCTACTCCTAGCTCTGCACTCAAGAATCACTCCTGGTGGTGCTTGGGGACCCATATGGGATGCCAGGGTTAGAATCTGGGTCAGCTGTGTGCAAGGCAAGTGTCCTGCTGTACTATTTATCTGGCCCTATAACTGTCTCTATTTTTTAGAAAGCAGTTAGAAAAACTGTCTTATTACTTTAAATAACGTTTTGTGTTAAGATCATTTTTTTCAATGCTACATGTGTTTCCTAGTGAAAAATAGTCCTACTAGGGGCTTGCCTTGCATGTGGCTGACTCAGGTTCAACCCCCAGTATCCCGCATATGCTTCCTGGAGCCACTATCAGGAGTATACCTGAGGATAGCAGGATTGGCCCCCAAACAAAATTTCTACTAGTCTCTTTTCATTGGTAAAACCCTGGGACATTTTGAGTGTATCAGCTCATTCCATTGAGCACCTGGTTAAAATTTGATTCTTTTTAAAGAGAGTGGTGATTTCATATGAATGGCAAATACCCTTTTTCTTTTTGACAGTTTAAGACTTGGTATGCAAGAGGATTTAGAGGAAATGAGACGTGAAGAAGAAGAAATGAAGCGCCGAAAGGCCAAGAAGCTGAAGAAGCGTTAGAGACTTTATTTTATGAAATTGTAGAGATACTCTGCTGCAAAGAAGTCCTGCCTCCAGACTGAAGAAGCCCCTTTATCATTTTAGGTTTATTCTTCAGTACTCAAGGACACATACTGTTATTTGCAGGCTATCATTTGAGCATAAAGTATTTTCAAGTACTTTGCAGGGTGAAATATGTAAGACAGATGACAGAATGCCCAGTGAATGCTCTTATGAAGTCAATTGTTCGCAGATGCCAGTAATACCGGCAGGCAGTCACTCAGTGGGGCCACTCACCAGTTAATCAATCTTTTGTTCTTTTGCTTCTTTTAAAAGGAAAGAAAATAGAAGATTCCCCATGACTTCCATAATTCTGCTGATGGTATGAGCAGGGTACTTCCCAGCTCCCAAATTAATTTTTTTCTTACGAGTAATAGGCCCTTCCATGAATGTAGGCAGTAATAAAGTGACCTGTTCTAATCTGTGGACTGGAAACTTGGAAATATAGGCTTTATAATTATATGGACGTCATGTCTGACTTTGAAGGAAAAAAAAATGTAGAATAAATTATATTGTATTCTGCGTTCCTCATGGATTGGATGCTGAGCATTCTTACTAATTTTAGGTAATTAAGCAATTAAGGATAATTGTTCCATGTTAAAATACAAGTTATGTCATTTACTAGAAGAATATTCTTTTCCAAGTTTTCCTTTCAGATTATCCATTTTCTGTTGTGTTGACTTTGTGTAAAATGGACAAGGTCACTGTGCTGATTTTTATCTAAAAAATCATTTTTATATTGAAGGAAGAATATTTTATTCAAACATTAGATTTGGAAGAGTACTTGTTTAAAAAGTGACATGTGAGACTCCCCTCCTTCCCGTTCCCCTTCTCCATTATAAAGATATTTTGGAATATAAAGTGTCCCTGTACCTCTTGCTGTTAATGACTTTGCATCTTAAATTCCTTAACAATTAATGGCAAAAACCAAAAACTAAATTAATGCATATCAAGAGCACCATCTTCTCTTTTTGCCCATATTGCACTTTTATTTCAAACTATGCACTGTGAAGAGATTTTTCTCCCAGGTAGAAAAGAAGGTTCCCCATTCTGATGTACTCGGCTGTGGGTCTTTCTTAATTCTTACCTTTAAATCTATTGGCTTGGTATTTCTTAAGCCGCAAGGCCAAACAATTCAATCAGACTGACCCCTAGATCTGGCTGGGGAGAAGTCTCAAAGGCAACAGAAAATGAGACATGACGCTAGAGAGTATTTGTCCTTGATTTTATATATATATATATGGAGGGTTGGGAACAGTGGAAAAATAAGCTTATCAATTCCACATTAAACATTGTGGATATTAAGCCATTGGTCAGTGGGGAGTAGGCAGTAGGAGAGGTTTTCCTACAAAGAATCCTAAACTCTTTAACACATCCAAAAGTTTTGTATGTTCCTTTTTACCCAGTTTTATTTATTCCTGTTTGGTATAAATTAGTTTCTTTTTAGTGGGATTACCCAGAGTGGATCATTTTGAATTTTATTTCAAACTTTGTATGTGCAGGGGTTTAATTCTGAAGTTGAATCCTGTATGAAAGGGGTCTTCCATCACTGGGAAGAGTACCCTAATGCTTCAGAAAACTGTTACATTGGTGGCAAAATATCTTACTCCTCTCATCTCAAATTATCTTCACTGTAATTGATTTTAAGAGCAGTGTCATGTACTGTGAAGGTTTGGAACTATTCCCTTTGCCATCACTTACGTGTTTATTTTTCTTCTCCCAGATTTTTTTTTTCTTGGAGGTGGTTTTCTTTCCACTGCTTAGACTCTTAATTACAATCAAGTGCTTGACACAGCTGAAAGATTTCTGGTGACTTAAAATTTTTTAGCACTTTACTCAATGCAGTTGTTTGTACAGAAAAGCACCCTTGTGCTAAAATCCCAGACCTTGGTAGGAAGAGTCAGGATGTGTCCTTAATTCTCTCACTTCTGAGTGCATTTCTTTTATAATAGAGGTGTTGGTTTTTATCTTCTTCATCATCAACATTATGAACTGGTATTTCTGATGCTCACTTTAGAAAGTTTGGAGTCTTTTAATCTTGGCCTTGTTTCTGAATCCTGTCTTCCACCTTGTCCTGCAATTCCTGACGACTCTTACTAAAAGCTCATAAACTTTTCAAGAAACTGAACTAGAATCTTTTATCAAGGTTTACAAATTAAGTGCTTAATTTTTTAATGTATCCTCTTGATTTTCAGATTTTATTAATTCGATATTTGAAAAATGTGCCTTTTATTAGGGTAATATTAATTCAGGAATGTAGTAATGTTATTTCATGATTGTAATGTTACATGATCATGGTTGCACCTTTCTCCTAACAGATGATGTAAAAGGAAAGTAGTTTTCATAAAACTCATGGCTCTGATTGCACTGTCCCACTTACTTTTGGTGTTACTGTGTCAAAGCAAGGGGCTTTTAAGGCTACTTTCAGAATGTGTCTTTGTATTTTCTCTAAAAAGTAAATGCAATATGTCCACTTGGAGGCCAGGGTACCACATGTCACGGGCAACCTTACATGTGTGCCATGAGAAGATTCAAAGACTTAACAAAAAGAAAGTCTGTGGGAACTTGGAATTCCATTTTTTTTAAAAAATGTAATGCCCAAGATTTTCTCCAAGAAATTAATTACTGTTTTGTATGTTATAACTTAAAAGCAGCTATTAGTACATTTCTGAGATACAGCAGAAGACCAAAACATGTTTGGAAAGAGAATAAATATATGGAGAAACTGGTTGTTTTATTTTCAGTGTGCCGAATATGTTAGACTACTATTTATTTTGTGAGTGGATGTGATGAAATAAATATTCAGGTGTTTAGTGTATGATGAAGAGTGGAATATAGTTTTTTTTGAAGTTATAATCCATCGTGTCTTTCACATAATGGACAAATCAAGTTAACATTTTTTTTACATAACTTGTTTTCTGGTGCTGTTGAGCTGCAAGAGAATCTACTTTTGCAATATACCGGTAAAACTTTTACAGTTTATGTATAAAAATATTGTAGGTATTAAAATATTTTACTGGTATTTTCAGTGGTTTACATTTATTTACCAAAGATACTCCTTATCTCATCCAGCCTAAACCCCTCTTGAGAGCATTTGCCACCCTAAGCATCATCTCTCAGCTCTTCATTCTCTATACACATTCATGTCTGCTCAGGGCGCATCAGTGATGCTTAGCCTCTGCCCCACCTCCAGCCTAGAGAATTGTTCTATTAGGTACCCATATTAGAACAATGTGATATATTCAGGGAGCTGGAGACAAAGTGTAAAACTGGCTGTACTGTTGCTTCTATCAAGAAAATCATGGTTTTGATCTTCTAACAACAATAACAAAAAGTGCTGAGACAATAAGTCCATAGGAATATATAGGAGGAAAGTGAGTACAGCCAACCAGTCAATAAATGTAAGCACAAAACAAAATGCATTGCATCAAGGTCAAGAAGTATAAGATTCTAGTATCCTAGAAATTATAAAATCTGCTTATGATTTAGAATTCATTTCTTATTAAAAAAGTAGTTAATTTCACGCATAGAGCCATTTACAATTTAGCAAACACAGCAAATGGCCAATTCAAATTATTTTTGCACTTTAGGGTGTACGTCTAGACAATATCAATTTTGTGGATCTTCGTTTGGGGGAAACACCCATCACCCATGCTCAAGGCTTATTCCTGGCTCTGCCCTCAGGGGTCACTACTGGTGGGCTCAAGGGACCGTATGGGGTGCCAGGGATCAAACCCAGGTCAGCCACATCCAAGGCAATTGCCCTGCTCACTGTACTACAGCTCTGGCTCCTGGAACTGTCAGTTTTTACTAAGCAGCCACAATGGGAATAGCTCCAGACATTGGAAAAACTTGTTTAAAAGATGTGGTCTTGGCATGAGTAATCTCTGAGCGCTGCTGGGTGTTGCCTCAATCCACCCACTATCCACCTCCAAAAAGTTGCTTTTGAAAAAAATTCTGTGTCTGAGGCTGGAGGATATAGCACAGCAGGTAGAAGGTTGCCTTGCACACCACTGACCCTGGTTTGGTCCTGGGCATCCCATAGGGTCCCTTGAGCACCCCTAGGAATGATTCTTAAGTGCAGAGCCAGGACTAATCGCTGAACATCGTTGGATGTGCCTCCACCCACCACACAAAAAAAGGTTTGTGTCTCCCTCACCCCTTTGAAGTCAATGGCAAAGACTTTTTCACCTAAAGGGCTTATAAGGAATACTCCAGGTTCGAACAACAAATCAGTTGCACATGTCTTAAGAGTCTCATCCTTGGTTTCATAAACTACATCTTACTAGGGTATGATCTATTTAAGCTTCTGTTGTTTTTGTTTTGCAGTGCAGAACCCAGGGTCTCACACATGCAAGGCCAGTGCTTTACCACAGAACTAGTGACACCCCCAGCCGAACTTTAGCTTTTGTACTTAGTGCTGCCTTTTTTAGTAGCACTCACTACAAAGTCATCAATTAAGGGGCTGCCACCAAAATCTCAAATATTCCCCAGTCTCTTACTTGACTCCTTTCCTAGGCACACAAAAGTGTGCGAAGGCAAAGGCCCCCAATTTTTTTTTTTTTTTTTTTTGGCTTTTGGGTCACATTGCAGTGATGGGTGGAGGGTGTTTCAGGCAGCAGCTTTGGGGACTGAGGTGCCAGTGATTGAAAGCAAGAGGTTGAGCTGTCTCTCCAGCACTGACTAAATTTGACACTACAACACAGAGCTGTAGTGAGTAAGGTACTTAAACCTCCAACTTCATTTCTGTCATTTGTAAACTGAGGCTAGACACAATTCAGTAGGTTAAGGATTGAAATACTGTGTAGTTCAGTATCTACCGCCCAATATTAAAATAGGATCCTTGGGACGGAGAGACAGTACAATGGGTAGGGTATTGGCCTGGCATACAGCTGATGTGTGTTTGACCCAGGTATCCCATATTACTCCATCAGGAGTAATTATGAGTGCAGATCCAGGAGTAAGCCTTGAGAATCTCTGGGTATGACCCCAAAAAACCCAAAGTAAAACCAAAAAGAGATCCTTTTCCCAGAAAGAATAACCACCCCCGCCCTGCCACCCTCTTCCCCCAATAGGATAATAGCCTTGAAATTTCCTGCAATTTTTAGTCCTTGGAATTTTTTTTCATCCCTAGACACTGGTTTGATTCCCCTTCCCCTCTTGGAAGCCCGGGTTCGATTCCTCTGCCCCTCTTGGAGAGCCCAGCAAGCTACCGAAAGTATTCTGCCCGCACGGCAAAGCCTGGCAAGCTACCCATGACGTATTAAATATGCCCAAAACAGTAACAAGTCTCACAATGGAGATGTTACTGGTGTCTGCTCGAGCAAATTGATGAACAATGGGAGGACAGTGACACAGGACAGTGACAGACACTGGACCCAGGAGAGAGGCATCAGTTTGGAAAATAGATCTAAAGAGCTCTGATTTTCATCTTTAAGGACACAGGAGACAAACTGAACTAGTTATCTAAGTCTAAATGCCAGTCTTTCAGACTTTGATCAGAAACAGAGGGACCCAATTACCTCCGTCCCATATCCATCCTTCCTACAGCCCCAACTTCCAAATCTCAATGTTCCCAGCAAACAGAATCCCATGTCTTCCATTTTTCAAAGTGCTTAACTTGACATAAAATGTGACAAATTGGTATGCAATTTCTTTATGTGAAACCAACAGAAACTCTTTGTAGCTGGTCAGGTGAGCTTCAGAGCTGCATTAATTCACCAGGATCATCTTTGTTTACTTCCACCGGTGGTGTCGTCTGGGGGTTGGGAAAGAGGTAAATCAGATGGGTCCTGCCTAGAGTTTGCTAGAATATGGGGTTGAAATAATTGTTCTTTCCAAGGGCCTATTATGCACGGTTGACTGTATCTTCCCTAAAGCCTCTGATCCCAACCGCCAGATGGGGTTTTACGGTATGGGAGTTGTCAGGAGGCAGAGAAAAGACAAACATCCAAGACTGAACAGGAGACAGGAGAGAGACATCTGCCACCGGAACCATTTCACAGAACAGTATTGCGTTAACGAGAGTGAAGTGTGAAACTGAATTAGGCTCAAGTATTAAAGGCCTGGTACACAGAGTCTGGTAACACAAAACTAGTGCCAGTGACAGAGAGCTCTGACTTTCAGTTTGAGATAGCTATACCTTCTACCTCCAGTTTATTCTAAAAAAAAAAAAAAATGAGGAATTTAAAGGAATAGACTTATCGGAGTTGGGGCCTGAGTGACATTACAGTGGGTAAGGTGCTTGCCTTGCACAGGATGACCCTCTATCAATCCCTGACATCTCATATGGTCCTCTAAGCCTTCCAGGAGTAATCCCTGAGCACAGAACCTGGAGTAAGTCCTGAGTACTGCTGGACGTGACCCCCCCCCTCGAACAACAATAACAACAAAAAATAAAAACAAAGACTCACACTGGTCTTCCATTAAAAAACAGTGGGACTCTCTCAACTCTATGTAGATTGTAAATAATAAATGTTATGCTGTGTTAACTTTTTTCTCTAAAGAGAAAAATATTTGTTCCTGAAGTTACTAGAGTTGGGTTTTGATAGCTCATTTCTCTGGAGGAAATACATTTCAAAGTCAGACAAGAGAGCAAAACCAAAGGTATACTTACCCCTGCAGGGGGATATTTATATCCCTTCCACATTGTTCCGGCAATGAGAATCATCCACAACACAACAATCATTGCAGGGCTTCTGGTTCAGCTGATGGTTGTGTGCAAGGAGAAATGGGTGGTTGTGAAAGGTGAGGTGTTCTAGTCCCCGAGTCCTGGGAACTCGGCTGTCTTCATGCCAGACCTGATAGTGGGCGGCCCAACATGATAGCTCCTGCCTGAAGAGCTGTGTGGTCTAGTCTGAACTTCAGTGACTTGAGATGGCCATTTGGGGGTGATGAGCGGGGAGGTGCCAATTATGACATCAGCTCTTGTGACCTTGAGGACCAGTCTGGGTAAGCAGCAGCTAGGAGACAACTGGTCAGAGGTCAAGTGTGATAGGGGTTGAAAAGAGGCTTGTTCTCCTATGACTGGGGTTAGGGTCCAGAAGGTACCGCCTGCCAAACTGAGGACTAGTTTTACACAATCAGATGCAAAAAAACAAGGTGATGCAAAAAACAAAACAAAAACCTTACCAAAATCAAAACAAAATAACCACGTGGGATTAATTGCGAGGATTAATCCTAGTGAGGCATATTTACCAGCAATGACTTTCATACTATTCTGAGATTATTCAAATAAGAAAAATTGTGTACTTTTGTGAAATGGCATGGTTTAAATTTATCAAACAATGCCAATCTCACTACTTTCCTCAGGAGGGATGAGAAGGAAAAGATCTCTGTGCCTCAATAAGAAAAAGAGTAGAGACCACGAAGAACAAGGATTAAGGAATTTGTGACTGACTCTGGTTCAATCCCAGCACCACATATGGTCCCCCAAGCACCACCAGGAATGCCTGAGCAGAGCCAGGAGTATGCCCTGACCATCACCATCATATCCCACCATTTCCCTACTCCTTGCAAAAAAAAAAAGGAAAAGGAAGTGGCTATGTGTTTCTGATGTGTCTTGCTAAAGGGCACCGACTAACCAGAGCCACAATTGTCTAGAGAGCCCCACAGGGTTTTCTCACTATAGCTTATGTCAAAAGTACCTGAAAACTTGTTAAATCAGTTACTCAGCCCCACCTGGGATCCAGTAAATCAGGGCTGGGCTCTGAGAAAGTTTCTAACCATGGTGAAGCTGAGTCTGCTCAACTAGGAACAGTACTGAAAGAACCACTCCCCTAAATCATGAGCCTATTTCAACTTGACCTTTCTTCATTCCTCCACATCCACAATGTCTTCCTTGCCAATTTTTTTTCTGGTGGTAGGAAACACCCAGCAGTGCTCAAGGGACCATATGGGGTGCTGGGGATTGAACCTAGGTCGGCCACATGCAAAGCAAGTGCCCTACCTAATGTACTATATGGGGTGCTGGGGATTGAACCTAGGTCAGCCACATGCAAAGCAAGTGCCCTACCTAATGTACTATCTTGTCAGTCCCCTCTTTTTTTTCTAATTATAAAAAATTGTGGGGGTGCATCCCTAGCATGCTCAGGGCTTACTACTGGCTCTGTGCTCTGAGATCACTCCTAGCAGGGCTAGGGGAACACTAGGCATGCACCAGATCGAACTCAGATCTGCTGCACTCAAAACAAGTGCCATACCTGCTGCACTATCTCTCTGACTTCTTCCCTGCTGTTTTAAGCCTCCCCCAGCATGTACCTGCCTTTGGACTTTGTTCTGAGTGCTCTACTATGGAAAACTTTTTCTCTTCACTCTCAATCTGAACTACCAGATCTTCCTTTTAAACATTTAAAAAAGTAAAAATTTTTCTCTTCACTCTCAATCTGAACTACCAGACCTTCCTTCTAAACAGTCTCCACAACACCTTCTAACATATATATATATGTATATATGTATATATACGTATATAAACATTGGGGTCTGGAGAGATAGTACAGGGGTTAAGGGGTTTGCCTTGTACGTGGCCAATTCTAGTGTGATCCCCAGCACCAGAGAGTCCCCCAAGCACAGAAGTACTGAAGCACCATGAAGTTTGGCTCCCAAACCAAATATTACATATATACGTTTATATATGTATATATAAACAAATATACTTTACTGAGCGATAGCATGTGGGTAGGGAGTTTGCCTTGCATGCAGCCGACCCTGGTTTGATTCCTCCCTCTCTCTGGGGGAGCTCTGCAAGCTACTGAGAGTATCCCGCCCACACAGCAGAGCCTGGAAAGCTCCCTGTGGTGTATTCGATATGCCAAAAACAGTAACAAATTTCACAATGGATCCGTTGCTTGAGCAAATGGATGAACAACAGGAGGACAGTGCTACAGACAGTACTACTTTACCTTATTACATCTGTTTTGTTCTCCTAGTGTAACAAATAATGCTGCCAGTGCCAGGGAGTAAGCCCAGAGCCTCATATACAACTCTTGCACTCTTACCAATAGCCCTGTCTAGAAAAGCTGGTGTTTCTGTCTCTTCTTCACTGTTGTATCTTCATACCAAGATGATGGCCTTGCAAATAGTTAATGCTCAACAAACGTTTGTTGAGTGAACATAATGCGTCTTCCAGCTTCTCACTTCTTAAGAAATTATTTTTACTTTTTTGGGGGGGACAGTGGGGCACACACGTAGCGATGCTCAGGGATCACTCTTGGTGGAGGAATGGAACCTGGGTTGGACAGGTGCAAGGCAAGCTCCCTACCTGCCCTGTGATCTCTGCGGGACCCCAAGTTCTTTACTTCTAAACGAGTCACAGCATTCCGGCCTTTGGCTCTTCCCTGCCCTCCCATTTCTTTAAATATCCCGCTCCCGGTGTTTTAGGGCCCGCAGTTCAAGTCAATTCACAAGTCAAGGAGATCAGACAAAGCCAGAAAATTGCATCTGTTCGCTTTCGGGGCCCACATGACCTTCCTCTCAGTGGCACAGGTCACCTGGCGGCTTGCAGGATGAGGGTGCAGGCGCACCCCTGGGAGTGGGGCAGAGGCGATCCCGCCGCGGGACTAGCATGAGCTCGGGTCACCTAACAAGGCGTCTCAGGACTCCGTTTCAGCCCCTGGAATTCTGCTTTTGAACTTTGACGTCCTTCCTAAATCTGACTGCAGTTTTCGCACTCGCTCTTTCTCGAGGTCATGGAAACTTCACACAGCCTTTTACAGAAACTGTTCCAGAACGGCGCCGGGGGCGGGGGGTTCTCCCGCCCTTACTGCAGCTCCTCGGGTCTTTCCTAAGTCCCCTTCCCCCCAGATTTCCTTCCAGGGAAGCCAACTCGGTGTTCCAGCGGACTCAGGGCTCCACGGAGTAGTAAGTCACATCCCTCTGCCCGCGGAGATGCCGCTGTCGGGGTCGCAGGTTGGAGTTTCCTGTCCGAGGAGGGGAGGTTTGGTCCTCGGCGGCTGCCGTCCAACTCCGAGTGCGGAAGTAATCCCGGGACCGGGCGCGCCGCGCCGGGCGGGGATGGAGATGGAGTTCGACTGTGAGCACCTGAGACGGCTCCTGGGCAAGGTGCGCAGGGCCTGCCAGGCTGGGGGCTGGGGTTCGGGAATCTCAGGGAGCGTTTTCCGGCTTCGCCAGGGGGCTTGACGCGGGGGCGGGCTGGCCTCCGTGGGTCGGAGACCGCAGTGACCTTCGGGGCCGGGGCCTTAGGTGCACGCCCGACACCCCATCTCTCTCTCCCACGACCCCCCCACCCCCCCCCCGCCCAGCACTGCAACCTCGCATCCTGTAGGAGACCCGGCCCCTCCCTTCCCCCCCAACTTCTTGTGGGCCTCACGTCACTCCCAGCACTCAGCTGCCCTCCTAAAGCCAGCGCCTTTCTTGCTGCGGGACTGTCTGCCCCCATCCCCCCTTTCTAGATTGGCAGTGCACATCCTTCCTGAGAACCACCTGCTAGAGACCGGAGAGGGTTGGGGTTAAAACGACTTGCACAGCGGGGAGGGCGTTTGCCTTGCACTCGGCCGACCTGGGTTCAATCCCCAGCATCCCAGATGGTCCCCAGAGTACCGCCAGGAATAATTCCTGAGTGCATGAGCCAGGAGTAACCCATGTGCATCGCCGACCTCCCTTCTTAGTATTTTCATCCTCCGCATCACTTCGGGTTCCCGGAGCATCACAGGGCGGGTCTTCCCCCGCACTCCCCCCAGACGTCCACTCCAGTGGTCATCCTGGAAGACAGAACTCACTTCTCTCGATTTGCTCTCGGAAATGCCGGTGATCACCTCGTGTTTGCCTACACTCCCCAAATCCTCCTGGGAGTTCTGTCTGTGATGGCAGAGATTGTTGTGTTCGCTTCACCCGGCTTTGTGCATTATGGGCTAACTGCGGGGAATGGAAGATCTGGGCAGATTTAGGAATGGAGAAGGGACTGGAGGGCTCCATCCCTTGCCGTTGAAAGTTTGGGTGTGGGGGCTGATCCAGAAGTTCGACTTCGGACACTTACAGGCTAATTCACCAATCATATAGTCTGAGGCAACAACCTTTCCCACCAATTTCCCAGTTAAGTGATTTTTATAATGCTTAAGACTTCCCCAGGTGGAAACCATACATTTATGCCATTTTTACAGGACATGCCCCTCCCTGTCTTTCTTTGTTGGGGGTAGCTTGCACAGCTGTAAGAGATTTTTGAAGCTTCATGATTGGGATTATTCCAATTTTCAGCTGCTGTGACAGGTGTAGGTCATGCAAGTAGAGAAGGATGGTCATGTTTATGATGCAGTCCTTTCTGATTCCTCTTTAGAGATTAGGAAAAGAGAAAGACCATTCAATCAGGCCTTTTGATGAGGGGTGCTTGGTGTTTTGTCCTATCGGAGGAATTATTAAAGTTGAGAGTATAAAATAGAATTTTAACATAATTTTAGTGGAATTGCAATGAAGGAAAAGGAAGTGAGACAGTGTGTTTCTTAAGGGTGAGAGAAGAGCAGAGGATTAAAAAAAATCTATCAGTGCATAGCTTAGAGTTTGGTACATAGGTGTTTAGGAACAGTTTTTAAGGTATCAACTAAGAAAATCAGAAAAAGGGGCTGGAGTGATAGGACAGCGAGTAGGGCTTTTGCCTTGCATGCAGTCGACCCAGGTCCAATCCCATATGGTTCCCCCTAGCACCAAAAAGCGAAAAATGACAAAAATAAAGTGCTCAATGTAAAAAAGAAAAGAAAAGAAAATCAGAAAAAGCCAGTTCAGCAAATATGTCATTTTTCTCTTTTTAAATTTTTATTGATTTTTTAAAAATCGAATTGCAGTGAGATACACAGTTACAAAGTTGTTCACGATTGGGTTTCAGTCTTAATAATGTTCCGCCACCTTTTGTTTTGGGCATCCTAAGCAATACTCAGGTACCACTCCCTGGAAACTTAGCCAACACATAGGCCTGACAGAGTGGTTCTGGGACCATGACAGCACTCAAAGAGCACATCAGATGAACAGCTTCTGTAAGTTTAAAAGACATCATGAACAGAGAGAAGGGGCAAATGCAAATTTAGAGAAGAATTTTGTAATGCAGCTGACAGCATATTGGTACCCAGAATATATAAGAAAAATATTATTTTTACATTATTATTTTTTTAAAATTTATTTATTTATTGAATCACTGTGGGAAAAGTTACAAAGCTTTCAGGTTTAAGTCTTGGTCATGCATATATCAAACACATTTCCCTTTACCAATACTTATTTTTCACCATGAAGAACCCCAAGAAACCTCCCCCAACCCTGCCAATGCCTGTGAGGCAGATGAATTCATTTAACACTCTATCTACTTTGACTAGATTCATTGTTTCGACAAAAGATGCACTATTATTATTTAGAGTTTACACTCCCAAAACAGACATGCTGAAAAGGCATTGTGAAATAATTTGTTTTCTACAGCTAGTTACAAGAATTAAACGATGTCACTTGGCTACTATTGCGGCCGTGCGATTTTGGATTTCTGCTATTTTACTCATTAACCCTGGAAGTATTTCTGCTGAGAGTCAGATGATTAAAAGATTGGTTTCTGTGCTCTGGAGCCATGGCCGTGCCGGAGAGCCGCTCTTGGGGGGCAAGTGGTGTCCTTGGTAGGGCGTGAAGGACGAGCCAGGAACGCCCCATCACGATCGACTCATACCTGGCTTTCCACAAAGCTCCCAAGCAGCTGCCATCTTTCTTTCCAGAAGGAAAAAGGCGGAAGGGACCAACACCCTTTCCCCTCCGGGCAGGCATGGTGGCGTGGATTAAGGCATAGTCCATTCACTTTTCTGCTGCAAGCTGCTGGGCTCTGCATTAAACAACATTATTTTTTAAACCATGATTTGGGATCCTATGTAGGGGTTACTATGTACCCAGATCCCCCTTTACCACCCTGGGTAAAGAACTGGGGCTACAGGAAAGGAAAAGAAAGGTAGCAGTTGAGATCTTCCCAGATCTTCCTAGATCCTGTCTTTGTCTTCCGCCTGGGCGGTTAACCCAGATTGAGCCCCAGGATGAGGGTCAGAGACACTTGTTACCACCCCAGTGCCATTCTCCCACAGAAATATTACCCCCTTTGGTGGGTAATTGCTTCTCAAAGGAGAAGATGGTCTGGGTTGGAGAAGCAGCTGTTAAGTAGGAAATCTGGCAGTCTCTGTTGTTTGTGTTTGGGCCACACAGCAGTGCTCAGGATCATTCCTGGCTGTCTCCGGGAACCATATTGGGTGCCTGACCAAACCTGGGTCAGTCATGTGCAAGGCAAGCGCCCTACCTGCTGTACTGTCTCTCTGGACCCGGTGTCTAGTCTTTTATTTTGGTCTTGATGTTCTGTCTTGGTGCTAATGACTAAAGATGGTCTTGGAGTACCTCACAGCTCAAGGTGACCCTGAGCAAAGACCTGAAAATTAATATCAAAGCCAATAGGAAATTGGACAGAAGACTGAATGATCATTGAAAGAAGAAAAAGAAACAGGGAAATGAGTGTTTTCTCAGCTGCTGGTAATCATGGAAAAGATAGTAAGATCATTATAAAACACATTTTTCCTCATGTGATTAACATAAATTCAGGTTAACTTCAAGCAGTTGGGAAACGTGAGGGTTCATGGGAATTAAGAGCAGTCCTGCAGGGGAGATAGCGCAGAGGAGGGGAGCACAGGCCTGGCATGTGGAAGCCCAACTTTTTCATCTCTGATGCCATGTGTCCCCTCACTTAGGGACAACTAATTCCCTGAACACTGGACCCAGGGTAGCCCCCAGCACCACCAAGTGTGACCACCCAAGCTAAAACGAATACTGCTGGTGGTTAAAAAGCAATTTAATCATTTGGGGAAATTTTGCCTTCATCAATTTGAACATGTGTATTTTATGTCCTTTCTATATCTAGTTACCAAGGAGAGAGAACTCATAGTCTATGAAACAGGAAGGACTGGAGAGATAGCACAGCAGATAGGGCATTTGCCTTGCATGCGGCTGACCCGGGTTAATAATAATATTTAGTTAATTTTTTTTGTGTGTGGGGGGAGGGAGCACACCACCAGCAGTACTCAGGACTTATTCCTGGCTCCATACTCAGGGGATCACTCCTGGCAGGGCTTGGGGGACCATATGCAGTGCCAAGGATCAAACCAGGGTTGAATGCATGTAGGTTAAGTGCCTTAACCCTCTACTTTCTCTCTAGCCCAAAAGAGAGTATTTTTGGTCCTTCTTACTTTTTAAGGTCATTACAAAAAGGATTAAATCAGGGCCACAGTTGCGGTTCATATACCTTGCATGTGTGAGGCCCTAGCTTTGATCTTGGTGGCACTGAAAAAGAACTGTCTGTATATGGTGAGCCTAGGAATTTGGCTCATTGGTAAAGCATTTGCCTTGCATGTGTGAAGCCCTGGATTTTATCCCCAGCACCACCAAAGAAAAAGTTGTTTTTAAAAAAGATTATAGTGGGGCTAGAGAGATATTACAGAGTGTCCATGCAGTTGACCCAAATTCTGTTCCCAGCAACCTGTATGTTTCCACAAGCACTGCTAGGAGTGATCCCTGAGTACAAGGCCAGTAGTAAGCCCTGAGCATCATTGGGTATGACCCTAAAACCAAATAATAATAATTTTAAAAAAATAATAAAAGAAAGTGATAGAACACTTACCTTGAAACTTGACTTCAAGCCTCTATACCACAAAAAAAATTTGTTTTTAATCTTTTAAAATGTTCAAAGCAAATCAAACTCAGAGCCCAGGGCCTTGAGTATATAGATATATTTGTTTTAGTGTTTTATTCTGTAACTTAAAGTTTAATTCTTATTCCATGCTTATATTTTTCTGTTCAGTACAAATTCAGGGATCTAACAGTGGAAGAACTGAAGAATGTTAACAAGGTTTTCCCACATTTTACATATTCCATGGATACCTATGGTAAGCATTACATACTCTAATTTTGCTACATTATTTGAACTGTTTCTGTTCCTATAGAGCTATAAAATTAAAATTTCTTTCTTTTTTTTTTTTTTTTTTGCTTTTTTGGGTCACACCTGGCGATGCATAGAGGTTACTCCTGGCTCTGTACTCAGGAATTACCCCTGGTGGTGCTTGAGGGACAATATGGGGTGCTGGGAATTGAACCCGGGTTGGCCGCATGCAAGGCCAACACCCTACCTGCTGTGCTATTGCTCCAGTCCCCAAAATTATAATTTCTTATTTTTCTCTTTTACCCCTTAATTTTGAGCTGTTTTGTGACTTGTGGTTTTTGATGAAATTTAAATTAATTCAATTTATTTTGTATTCATTTTCTGTTGTTACCCTAACAAACTTGGGCTAAAAATCATATAAATTGAGTGTCTATGGTTCTGTAGGAGAGAAGTCCAATTCAGGTGTCTCTAGTAAGAAATTTGGGCTAAATTTAAGTTATTAGCAGATCAAGAAGTTTGGGCTAAAACCAAGGTCCTTCCCAGAAGCTCTAAGGGGAAAGCCCTCTCTCACTCCCTCCATCCCTCCTCCTTCCACATGTTACTTACTACTGGCTCTGCACTCAGGGAACATTCCTGGAGGACGTGGAGAAATCAGCCGCATAAAAAGCAAGCACCCTACACACTGTACTATCTCTCTAGCCTCTATCACCATTCGTTTAAATGGGGAAAACATTAAACATTCTTAGACCCCCCCAAATAGGCTACCAAATCATACCTAACAGGAATACTCAACTTTTAGATAATTTGGAAAACTTGTCCTATTTATTGAATTTTCAGCTACCTTCTCTGCTTTCTAAAAAACAATCTTGTAATTTTTCCCTTGTCTCTATATTTACTGATTCCTAGATGATGTATATTTCTGTATGTGTGTACACGCATGCACTTTTATATAGTTCTTCCTATTCCTTATTATGCATTTTGGTTTTTTTTTTCCCTCCCAGTTTTCAAAGATAGTTCTCAGAAAGATCTGCTGAATGTCACGGGCACTGTTCCTGTGATGTATCAGGGTGAGTATTGAAGTTGGGTAAATGTGCAGATTTTCTACAAGAGCAGCTAAGTAAGAACTTAGAATTGCTTTATGCTGCAACATTCTCAAAGTATTTTCACATATACATGATCTATACAGAACTTATTGAATATAGAAGAGTGTTTTCACATTGTTGTAAGTAAAATATAGATTATGAATCAAACATGGGAAATTACCCAGCCAAGGAAGGTCTGTCAATAGCAACAAATTCATTTCGGCTCAAAAAGTATTTATTTGTTGTCAGTTATGTGCCCACTGCTCTACTAGGTGCTTGGGTAAAGAGGAAAGCAAGACAGTCATAGGCCTGCTTTTCTGTAGAGCTCCCTCTGCTTTCCATAGCAGATTGTGTCTTTTTTCCCATTCCATTGATGTTCTGTTTCCCATCTCTTCCCTTTTTATGATTTAGACTCATCCCTATTCTGTACACTAAGTTGCTGATATCAGGCCAGAAATTTTTACAACATAGAGACCATTAAAGTGAAAAGAAAGCAAAATATTGGGGAGCATCCTGACAAGTTAATAGAACCAAGAGCTTGCCTAAAAGGAAAAAGGGGGAGGGGGAAAAAAACAAGCCTAATATCTCGGTATGGTCTTTCCCATTTACCAGACAGTATTTCCTCCAATATTCAAGAATGACTAGCCATTCAACTCGATATCTTAAAGGAGATTGCCTGTGTAGTGTGAGGAAGAGATCAGAGAATACACATTGCAAAATCTTACTAGTTAAACATAAGAATCCGGTCTAGCAGGTGCTAAGACGTGGGCTGTTGAAGTACATAAAGGCGACGGGTGGTGGGGGATGGGGGATAGTGAAGGCAGCAGATCCTTGGGCAACCAGGAGGAATTGCTTCAATGGTCATTTCTTCCCTTACCTTTAAGGTGTAGATTAATACAGAAACTGTTCACAGGGAATTGGGCTACTACGCCCATCCCATTAGGACAAGGAAGGAAGGAGAACAAGCAGATGGATAGACAAGCAAAACAGATCTGGCTTTAGACAGTATCTTTGAGATATTTTGACCATGACTTACAGTGAGAAATACTTTCAGGCACCCGGTCCGGTCCATAGTACAAAGAGCAGGTATTTCCATTGCATGTGGAAGTCTCCAGGTTTAATCCCTTGAATCCTATATGTTTACCTGAGTCCTGCCAGGAGTGATTCTTGAGTGCAGAGCTAGGAGTAAGCCCTGAGCATGCTGCTAGGTAAAAGGCCTCACCCCCCCCTCCCCCATTGAAATCCTTTTACATGAATGGCTTACATTATGTGTATGTGTAACAGACATACCATGTTACATTAATGTGTATAATGTAAATATAAAATACATTATATTTTCTATTCAATTTCATTTAAGGGAGAGTAAGATTTTTGTTTCTATATGGTTATTTGCAGGGAGGGGCACACCCAGTGGCACTCTAGGTATCAGACAGTGCTGGGGGTTGAACCACCCAGAGGTTCCTGCATGAAAAGCATGCACTCCAGTCCTTTGAGCCATCATCTCTCTAATCTGAGTTCTACGTGTCTGATCCAGTTTCCCTGTTACACTACCCATTAGTAATGAGTTATATTTGATGATTATCATTTTCATCTTTGATCATTCACTTTTCCTTTATTCATTAACTCATGAATAAGAAACTTGTATTGAGTAGCCAGTATTTTCTGTGATTTTGGGCCATACCTCTTTGTGTTCAGGATTTACTCTGGCTCTGCACTCAGTGATCACTCCTGGCTGTGCTTAGGGGACCATTAGGAGTTCTGGGGATCAAACCCAGGTTGGCCATTATTTAAGGCACACGCCCTACTTGCTGTACTGTCACTCTGGCTCATGAGTAGCCAGTATTTTAGACCTTGTATTTAGTACTAATGATGTAGAAATGAGATAAACTGAGAAGTTGAACAGTGTAAAAGAAGAAACAGGCCTATATGCAAATCAGTTATCTACAGAATGAGTATAAAAATGGAAGTGTTCACTATCTTTCAAGAGAAGTTCAGTAGATTTCCTTGGGTATTTTGGGGGGATGGGGTGGGACATCCCTGATGGTGCTCAGGGTACTTTATGGGGGAAGGGGTTTCAACATGGGTCTTCTATATGCAAAGCATTGAACAATCTCCTTGGATGACAGTAGCTTTGCCTGAGTGGAGTAAAGATACATAGAGAAGATGCCATATTCCAAACTTCTGGTACCATAAGTTCCAGTAAATAGTCATTGGCTTGAGTGAGCTAGTTATTGTTTCAATTAAATTTCCTTAGATATTACACTGGTGTTCTAATAGGGATATACTTGTGAATATGGATGAAATGAAGAAAACTTGATTTACATAAATACTTTATAAAAATTTGACTAAGCTACATTTATCTTAAGATGCCAGTTACCTATGCCATAAATACAATGTGTATTTTCATTATCATTTAAAGATGTGTTTATTTTGTTTCAAATAGGTCATACCTATAACATACCAATTCGTTTGTGGATTTTGGATTCTCATCCTTTTGCTCCCCCCATTTGCTTCTTAAAACCAACCGCAAATATGGGAATCTCAGTTGGAAAACATGTGGATGCTCAAGGAAGAATATACTTGCCCTATCTCCAAAACTGGAGCCACGTAAGATCAGTTGGGATTTTCTTTTTAAGAGGCTTTTTTTTTTTCACCCCTTATGTAATGACCTTTGATTCTTATAAGTTAACGGAATTTTCTTCATGTGGTCATCAAGAGTAATTTGAAAGTGAGTTTTAGAAGCTGCTGAATGAAGCAGTTTGAATGAAGACACTGTCTCTAGGCTGGTGAGCCAACTATTGTTTGTGCTGTGCTTTTTAATCCTTTGCTGCTTGATAAAGCATGTCTGTTTTACTTTATATTTATGGTTTGCTTTGTTTTTCATATGTACAAATCCTTTATTTGTTTATTTTTTTTTGAGTCACCGTGAGATACACAGTGACAAAGCTGTCCATGGTCAAGTCTCTGTCATACAGTGATCTAACACCCATCCCTCCACCGGTGTCCATTTCCCACCACCAATGACTCCACTTCCCCTTCCACCATTCCTCCTCCCCCAGTCTGCCTCTGTGGCTCTATGGCAGGCACTTTCTCTCTCTCTCTCTCTCTCTCTCTCTCTCTCTCTCTCTCTCTCTCTCTCTCTCTCTATCTCTCTCTCTCTCTCTCCTTCTCCCTCCTGTGCACTATGGTCTGCAACACAGATACTGAGAAATTATCATGGTTGTTCCTTTACCTACTTTCAGCACACAGTTCCTATCCAGAATGATCATTTTCAAAACCTTTAAAAAGGGAAAAAAAGAAATGGGGAAGTTATATGCATGAAGAGCCAGAGAGGTTGTACTAGGCTTAAGGCACTTGTGTTGCACCAGCTGATCCTACTTCTACCCCAGGCACCACATATGGTTCCTGATTAAATGTAATCAAGAGGGTCTGATAAATATTTGTCAGTTGGGAGGACAGAAAAAAAATAGTCCTTTGGCTATTGGAGAAACTGAAATTTTTTTTGTATATTTGTCAGTCTTGTATATTTCTTCCTTTTTTGTCATTTTATCTTTTTCATGTTTCTTCTGCTTTTCTAAACCACCTTCAGACAATATTTGTCATGAGTCAAAATACTATGAAAATTTGTATTTCCAGTTCCTCTCTGGTTTTCTTTGGCATCTTTTATCATAGTTTTTGTTAATAAATACTTGGACATAGGGGCCAGAAAGTAAGTACAGGGATAAGGTGCTTGCCTTATGCAGTCACATACTGGGGTTGTATGCAGCTGACTCCAGTATATGATATGACCCCCTAAATACCACCCCCTAAATACCCCCTAAATTCCTGAGGAACCCTGAGCACAGCCATGTATAGCTCCAATCTCCCCTCACCAAAGGAGAAAAAAAACAACAGCCTTGGAGATTGTCTATGATCTAAGTTAAGATTGTGATTGAGGGCTGGAGTAATAGTACAGCTGGTAGGACTGACCACGGCTTGCACACAGCTGACCTGAGTTCGATCCTCAGTATCCCATATGGCATCCCAAACACCGCCATGAGTGATTTCTGAGTGCAGAGCCAGGAGTAACCCCTGTGCATCACTGGGTGTGACCCAGAAAGCAAAAAAAAAAGAGATTGTGATTGATTTTATTTTATTATTGTTAGCTAAAATTCGTCTTTTAAATTACAATAAATAGGAAGAAACAGTGATCATACCAGTGCTGCTGAGAGTTCCCATGCAGTGCAGATGGTCACTTTGTCCAGGTTTTTACTAAGAGCACCATTATTTGGAAGTTAGATCTGATATCAGATAATTTAATCTTTCTCTATACTGCCCCTTGGGACTCTGAATTAACAGTTATGCTCTCTACCTTATTATGTAGTTTTTCATTTTCACCATGAGATAAAAAAAAAAGTCAATTCTTCTCAAAACTCACATGCGGGGGGAGGTGGGACAATGGGACAGTGGTGGAGGGACCCCGACACTCTGGTGTTGCAGTAGCAGTGCAGTATAAAACAGTCTGAGAGCTGTTGTACCAATATTTTTTGTTTGTTTGGTTGGTTTTGGGCCACACCTGGTGATGCTCAGAGGTTACTCCTGGCTCTGCAGGAGTATGCCTGGGGAACCATGTGGGATGCTGGGGATCAAACCTGGGTGGGCAGCTCATGAGGCAAATGCCCTACCCACTGTACTATCACTCCAGCTCCTCCATTATCCTTTGAATTTGGGAGTCACACCCAAAAGTGCTCACCAACTACTCCCAGCTCTGTGACAGGGATTGAATTCGGACCTCCGGCTGTTTGGTTTGAATGAGCTCATCCCTTTGAGCTCTCACTCCAGCCTTCTCCAAATTTTGGATAATTTAATAACTGATTTCATACACATATATTTTCAGCTTGGTATCCTAGAGATATTTGAGGGTGATTTTTTTTAACGGTGTTTCATTTCTGAAAAGCTCTCTCTCTCTCTCTCTCTTTATTGAATCACCATGAGATATAGTTACAAAACTTTCATGTTTGAGTTTCAGTCATACAATGATCGAACACCCATCCCTCCACCAGTGCACTTTCTCCACCACCAATGTCTTCCCCCTTTCCAACCCTTCCCTGCCTCTATGGCAGACAATTTCCCCCATACTCTCGGCTTTGGGGCATTATGCTTTGCGGTATAGATACTGAGAGGCTATCACTTTTGGTCCTTTGTCTAAGCACACGTCTCCCATCCTGAACTATTCCTCCTACCATCATTGACTTAGTGATCCTGAGGGTGATTTTTGGTGGGTGGGTTTAGGCCACACCCAGCAGTGCTCAGGAGCTGTTGCTGGCTGGGTACTCAAAGGATGCTCCACGTGGTGCTGGCATGGAGCGGGAAGGATCATGTGGGGCAGGGAATCAGACCCAGGGCTCCTGCAGACCCAGGGCTCCTGCACGTCAGCCATGTGCTCTAGCCTTCCATGCTCTCTCCCTGACCTGGTTTTTATTCTGTTGGCCTCATCCTAGTATTGATAGATAGTAAAATACAGATTCTGAGAAAATTTATATTTTTTAATTTATGATTTATTTTTGTTTTATTTGGCGCCACATAGGATCATACTCTGGGGCTGCTCAGAGCTGATTCTGGCATTTTGGGGGGAACTAGGCCATGACAGGGATTCAACCTGGACTTCCTGCATGCACACTGGCCTTTTTTGAGCTGTTTCCTCCCTGGCCCCATTGAGCAATTCCTTAATGTTCAGAATATGAAATATTCCTAACAAAAATATTTTTTTCATGCAGTTTATAGTTTGCATGCATCGACTCAGTTGTTTCTTATGAGAGCCACTGAAATCTATTATTTATATATATTTTTTTCTTTTTGGGTCACACCAGTGACGCTCAGAGGTTGCTTCTGGCTCTGCACTCAAGAATCACTCCTGGCAGTGTTTGGGGAACCATATGGAATGCCGGGGATTGAACCTGGGTCGGCCGCATGCAAGGCAAATGCCCTCCCTGCTGTACTATCGCTCCAGCCCCTATTATTTATATGTTATTGCTGATGACACTAATGCTTGGAGAGGTTAAGTGAATTTCATTAGTGTGGTTTAACCAGCTAGATTTTAAAGAAGCAATATCAGATTAGAAAATATTTTATCAGTGCTAATGTTCTGGTTTGATATTGGTCATATAGAAGAATGTTAGTTTTGTTATGGTTTTCCTTTTAGGAAATATACACTAAAAGGGTAAAAGGGTATCTGCAACTTATTGTCAGTTGTTTCAGAAATACATATAGGGAAAAAGAGACCATTTGAGTATTTAGTTGGTAGGTACATGGACATTTTTTGCACTGTTTTTGAAGCTATTCTATAAGTCTGCAATTATTTAAAAATAAAAAGTATTTGGGGCCAGTGATTCAGTACAGGGGTTAAATTGCAGGTATCCAACTCTGGTTCAATCTCTAGCACCTCCAGGTGTGGCTTAAACTACTGTTCTGAAAAAAGTATTTTACGAAAACATCTAGACTGTTCTCCAATTATGTATTCTGCTAGTAAGCATAATTATGCCATTTTCTCAGTTTGGGGACATGTGGATTTGATAGTTTTTACTTTTATAGGTTAACAAAATTTCAGCGTTAACAAAGTTTTCTAACTTTTTATTAACTTTTCTTTTTGTATGTATTCTGCAGCCCAAATCTGTCATTGTTGGATTGATTAAAGAAATGATTGCCAAGTTTCAAGAAGAACTTCCCTTGTATTCCCTGTCATCGTCCAATGAGGCTCAGCAGGTCAACTTGTTAGCTTATATTGCAAAAATCACTGAAGGTTTGTAAATTTGTTAATCAAATTACCTTAAGAATCAGGTGTACTGCTTATCAGTCTGGCAGTTTACTCTCCTCTACACAATCTCTATAAATGCATGCGAGTATATGTGCATACAGGTGTGAATAAAAATTTGTATACATTTGTCATAACTGTTACCATACAGTTCCAATGATTGTGGTTTCTTAAATGTCAAACTGACAGATACAATATTTGGTTTAAGATTTCTTGATATATTACACATTAGTGAATGATTCCAAATCCTAAATCTCTTTGTTTTCTTTGGGGGCGGGGGGCACACAATATACAGTGCTTGGAGCCACTCCTAGGGTGCTCAGGGGTTCCAGGGATCAAACTTGGCCCTCTCACATGTAGAGTATGGCCCCCCCAAGTCCTTTCACACACACACATCTTATTCAATATTATTCATATTTCTCAGTGCTTCTCTTTTTTCTTTTGTTGCAGTGGGGCAGGATTTGGGGTGTGTGAGCAGGCTTGGGCTACAGCTAAGCGATGTTCAAGGCCTGCTCCCAGCTTGCTGCTTGGAGGTCGTTCCTAGTATATTCCAGGACTGTGTAGATCTAGGGATCAAATTGCAGCTTCCCGCATGCAAAGCATGTTCTCCAGCCCCTTGAGCTATCTCCCTGGCCCTGGGTCATTCATATGAAAGGCAAATACCTCACCTTCTGTGCTCTCTCTCTGGTCCCTATGTCCATAAACTTTTATATTGAAATACTTCTGCTCAGGTGTTAAAACTTTTTGGTTTTTTTTTTTTTGAGGCCATACCTGGCAGTGCTCAGGGGCTAATGGTCCAAGTTGCGTCTAGCAGTGCTTAGGGTACACTTGTATGCAAAGCATGCATTTAGCCCATTGAGCTATCCAGTCCAGTATTTTTGGTATCATATATGAGGGCAATAAGAATCAGAATTTAGGGGTCACAGAGATAATGCAGTGAGTAGGGTACTTACTTTGTACATGGCCAACCTGAATTCAATCCCCAACACCCATATGGCTCCCTGAGCCTACCAGAAGTAATCTCTGGGTGCAGAGCCCTGAGCATTGCCTGATATTGCCCAAAACTGAAAAAGAGGAAAGGAAGGAAGGAGGGGAAGGAGGAAGGAAGGAAAAGAACAAACTATGAAAAAAATTTTTGCAACTTTCATAATTTTTTTTTCTTTTTGGGTCACACCCAGCGATGCACAGGGGTTACTCCTGGTTCATGTACTCAGGAATTACTCCTGGAAGTGCTCGGGGAACCATATGGGATGCTGGGAATCGAACCTGGGTTGGCCGCGGACAAGGCAAACACCCTACCTGCTGTGCTATTGCTCCAGCCCCCATAATTTTTTTTTTTAATGTTTGCAAAGATATCTTCTTTTTGAAAGGATAGTTACTATTTAGTAAACTGTTTAATGAGATTCCTGTACCTCTTACATTTCACTTCCCCAGTAAATAGTTGGGGTACCTGTTACAGAGTTTGGAGTACCTGTCATAGAGTTACATATCATGTTTTCTGTTCAAGATATTGAAGCTTCCTTTTTATTTATTTTTTTCAAATGCTAATACAATTTTTTATTATTAAGAATTCTCAAAATATACTGAGACAGTGTATTGGAGACTTGTGGTGGAAGTTGTGGTGTTTGAAAACCCTGTCATTGAAACTATTATAGATAGTAATGCCTAAAATAAATAGAATTCTCACAGTAGTCCACTTTTTTTCTTTGTAGGTGTTTCAGACATAAATTCAAAGAACTGGGAAAATTATGAGAATAAAGCAATTAATAAAATCACTGTGGTTGGAGGTGGGGAACTGGGAATCGCCTGCACATTAGCAATTTCAGCAAAGGTACGTAAGCACAGTGGTTGCAAATACATCTGTCTACACCTGCACTTTTAGGCAGTTGACATTTAACGTACAAGATATAATAGCTTAATTTTATCATGTGGGCAAACCTCACTTCACCATAAAATATATTTAGTAAATTGACAAAAATCTAGCTAAGTGCATTCACCAAGGGTGTTGCATCTTAGTAGTTATACAAAGGGCTTATCATCCTAACCTAAGAGAAACCTCAACTTTACATTTATCTGACTTAATTGAACAAAATCTTTTCTTCAGTGTCTGAGATATACCACTTTAACTCTTAATAAAATATTTAATTTTGGCTCTTTCTAAAATTAGCAGTTTCTAAAATGAATTGCCTTTGGGTAATTTCTACTATGCTTTAGGATCCTAGTTCCTGCATCGATATTTTATACCAGTTTCAAATTTTTTTTATCATTTTTTTTTAAATTCAAACTTTCCTGTTTTTCAGAAAGGTTTGAATTCGCCTCCTGGGCACTTCAGAAGACTCTTTAGAGTATTGTGTAAAAGCATCTTGTCATTTGAAGGATGCTTCATTATGTTTGAGAACTGGCATTTGGTTTTCTTACTAAAATTTGTTTTACCACCTGAGTGATTCCCTTTGTATTTACACCTCCGGACTGGAGAATAATACAGTGGTAAGGCTCTTGCCTTATAGACAGCTGACCCCTCTTTGGTCTGCAGTACCACATGAACTCTAAAACACAGCTCAGAGTAACCTCCATCAGTAATGACTGTAGCCCTTCCGCTCCTCTGCCTCCCCCCTTAGAAAGACTCATATATCTTGAAGTCAGGTTCTACTTAAGTAAATAATTAAGATGAATCTAGGGAGTTATAAAAAATCTAAATCCAGAAGCATATGCTGCCATCTGGCATATAGTTTTATTTCTTCCACCTGAGTACACTGTACCCTGTTAATTAGAATTTGAATTGTTTTCAGTTCTTTATTACCAAATAGGATGCTTCAATAAATAATGCTTTACAATTTGCTTATTTTCGTGTCTGAATTTTAAGTATATATAATCTTGAAAATAGTATGAATAAGTTAGAGGGCCTGGATGGTATATATTACATATTGCAAGTCTGCTCTTCAGAGAGGAAAAGTTAACTTATTATGCTGCTAATATGCACATCGAGCTAATATTTGTCTCCCCTGAAAGTACTGAGTTTCATCAATTTTGTTTTAGTAAGTACACAGGAAAGCACATTAAATCATGTTTGTGTAACCATTAGACAAATCTCTATATTTCTTTGTGAACTGTCTGGACATTTTTCCCTAGGGGCAGAGAGATAGCACAGGGGTAAGGCACTTGTTTATAGGCAGCAGATCCTAATTTAGTCCCCTATATAGCTTATAGTCCACCAAGCTACACAAAGAGTGATCTGTAAGCACAGAGCCAAGAGTAAACAGTGAGCACCACCAGGTGTAGTCCAAAGAGAACACACACACACACACACACACACTCTCTCTCTCTCTCTCTCTCTCTCTCTCACACACACACACACACACACACACACACACACACAGAGAAAAGCTCAGTTATTTCAGAATGGACATTATGACAGCAGAGTGAAAACAAACTAAAGAATAGCAGATATCCTGAATGTCTCCCAATCACCCTTATTACTTACTATCCTATCAAAAGAACTGGCAAACTCCTTCTGGGTCAATTAGATGCCAGTTTGCAATGAAATGTGAAAGATCACATAGTTCATGTTCATAATAATTTGTTGTTTATACATTTCTTGTTATGTTTTTCTTCAAAGATAGCACATGTCATTTCTGAGTGAATTTAAATTAACTGCCCATGTCCAGTATAATGCAATTTTTTAAAAAATTGTTCTATATAGGGCATTGCAGACAAACTTGTCCTTTTAGACCTCTCAGAAGAGACTAAAGGAGGGATGATGGACCTTGACATCTTCAACCTGCCAAAAGTGGAGATCAGCAAAGGTCTGGTTATCCTGCTTAAAAGATGTTTACTGGTTGCTTTTGTTCTTGTGGATGTGGGCCAGTCTCTGTGGTGTGAAATGATATCTCATTGTGGTTTTGATCTGCATCTCTCTGATGATTAGTGATGTAGAGCATTTTCTCATGTGCCTTTTTGCCATTCGAATTTCTTCTTTGCGAAAGTTTCTGTTCATTTCCTCACCCCATTTTTTGATGGGGTTGGGTGATTTCTTCTTGTGGAGTTTAACCAGTACCTTGTATATCCTTGATATCAACCCCTTGTCGGATGTGTACTTGGTGAATATCCTTTCCCATTCTGTAGGCTGTCTTTGTATTTTGGTCACTTTTTCTTTTGAGGTGCAGAAGCTTCTTAGTTTAAGATAGTCCCATTTGTCTAGCTCTGTTTTCACTTGCTCGGCCAGTGGCGTGACATCTTTGAAGATACCATTAGCTTCAATATCATGGAGAGTTTTGCCGACTTTGTCTTCAATAAACATTATGGATTCTGGTCTGATGTTGAGGTCATAAATCCATTTTGATCTTACTTTTGTGCATGGTGTTAGGCAGAGATCTGAGCCCACTTTTTTGCATGTAGCCGTCCAATTTTGCCAGCACAGTTTGTTGAAGAGGCTTTCCCTGCTCCATTTCACTTTTCTTGCCCCCTTATCAAAAATTAGATGATTATATGTTTGGGAGGAAATGTCAGTATATTCAACTCTGTTCCATTGGTCTACAGCTCTGCTTTTGTTCCAGTACCATGCTGTTTTAATTATTACTGCCTTGTAGTAGAGTTTGAAGTTAGGGAGGTTGATTCCTCCCATTTTCTTTTTCCCAAGAATTGCTTTAGCTATTCGTGGGGGCTTATTGTTCCATATAAATTTCAGGAGTGTTTGCTCCATTTCTTTGAAGAATGCCATGGGTATCCTTATAGGGATTGCATTGAATTTGTACAGTGCTTTGGGAAGTATTGCCATTTTGATGATGTTGATTCTCCCCATCCATGAACAGGGGATATTTGATTTTATTTATTTTGTATGGAGTGTTTTGGGGACTGACCTGGAGGTGTTGAGGGGCTGTTCCTCTGTCTTTGGGCTCAGGAGTGATATTGGTGGTGCTCAGGAGATTGTCTGTGGTGCCATGAATCATACCAGGGCTTCCCCACATGCCAGGCAAGGGCCTTACCTCCTGTGTCATCTCTCTGGCCCTAAACCAAGATTTTAACAAAATCAGTTTAGATTGCTTTTGTTGAAATTATGTTACTAATTTTAATGAAACAGTCATGTGTGTGTGTGTGTGTGTGTGTGTGTGTGTGTGTGTGTGTGTGTGTGTGTAATGACAGGGATTAAACCTAGGCCTCACACATCTAAGGTGTTTCATTTGTGATCTACAACCCTTGCCCTTGCAATAAGTTTTAAAAAGAGCAAAAAGAGTTTTTGTATCAACAATAGAACAGCACGTTTAAAAGACATAATTTTCTAGGGCTGGAGCAATAGTATAGCGGGTAGGGTGTTTGCCTTGCAAGTGGCCGACCCAGGTTCTATCCCAGGCATCCCATATGGTCTCCCAAGAACTGCCAGGAGTAATTCCTGAGTGCAGAGCCAGGAGTAACCCGTGAGCATTTCTGGGTGTTACCCAAAAAGCAAAAACAAACAAATAAAAAAAAAACCAAAATTTTCTAATGTTCTTTAAATTGGCATATATTTTATAATGTAGGATTAAAATTATTATTTTATTATCAGGTACACATGATCATTTAAAAGCCCATTGAATAAATTAAAAGCCCGTTGAACTAAACGTATGTCTTAAAACCATTCTACCAGGATTGCTCTTCAAGCCCATGTTCTTCCTAAAACATGTGTCTTGCTTGCTTGTCTCCATATTTCTTTGCTTGTCTACATCCATTCTAGAGAAACCTGTGTTCCCACTTCTCGCTTTCCCTTCCCTCACATCTTTCTAAATAAGTTTCAGTGAAAACTCTCTTGCTTCGCCAAAACAACAACAACAACAACAACAACACATCATTAAGAACAACAATGAATCAGAAAAGTTGAAATTAACACCTGTAGGTCATAAAAATTGGGTGTGCTAGTTCTAGTCAGCTTATGGGTTCTTCTACAAAACAGTGAGTTCATTTTCCTTTTCTGGAATGAATGCAGTGGTTGCTTTAATAATGATCCTTTTGTCAGCTTCTTAGAGAGGACCCCCTGGGGAGCTGGATATTCTCTTGTGCCTGTCATTTCCAGGTACTGAAGTTCTTAAGGGACCTCTTAACTCTTCCAAATCACTCTAGGAAACTCTTAGTTCACGGACCCGAGAGGTTGTGAGGCTGTTTAGGATTGAGAAAATTGTTTCTTCCTTTGTGTCTCATTAACCGTCAATAACAGTTCTTCATGTTAGTACAGCGAGTAGGGCATTTGCCTTGTATGAGATCATCCCGGGTTTGATCCCACCAATCCCACATGGTCCCCTGAGCACCGCCAGTAGTGATCCCTGAGTGCCGTGCCAGGAGTATTCCCTGAGCATTGCAGGGTGTGGCCCCCAAACAAATGGAAACCCCCCAAAACAATAACAGTTCTTTCAGATAATTGTGAGAATAGAATCCACCAAGTAAAGAATGTTAAGTTCACATCTTGAGGCGGCTTTCATGTTCCTGTTAATTCTTTCCTGCTGTTCCCCAATACTTGATTTAAACACCATAGTTTATAGAGTTGTTCAGAATACAGTTGTTTCAGGCATTCAGTATTCCTGTACCAACCCAAAGGTGTGACCTTCCACCATTGTCTTCCACCATTGTCCCCAGTTTCCCACCCCACCCCAAGCATGGCTCCTTAGCAAACACAAAATAAGTTATTTTATATTGCTTGTTACAAGTAAATGGTTATAGAATTACCAAAAAATACGTCAGTATAAGAAATTTCTAGAAATGGTTATAAATCATTATGGGATATAAAGTCCTTGTCTAAGGGTTTGCTTGTTTTTTGCTAGTTGAGCCTTCTGTATTATTATTGTTTTGTTGTTGTTGTTGTTGTTGAGCTTAGTTGGATTCTATGATACTTTTCCCTGTTAATTCTAACTGTATATTCATGATATAACTTAACTTAATTACTTATATGTGAAAAAACATTTAAAATATAATGTTAGTAACATCTTGAGAATATATTCTACGATATGGAGAAATACATCAAGTAATATTTGAGAAATTTAGGTGAATAATTTTTGAAAATTTATCTATACCCTGTCATGACAAGCATTGATGATTATATTGACCAATAGAATTGTACTTTACTCTATTGGGATTTAAAATAAATCTTTAGAACAAGGGGCTAAAAGAATACTACAGGGGTCAATGTGCTTGCTTTCCTGGTGACTGACTCTGGTTTGATCCCTGTCACTTCACTGTTTGAGTACCACTGAGAGTGATCCCTGAGCATAGCACCAGAAGTAGCCAACAAGCAACCTTGGCTGTGGCCCAAACCCAAACTCACCCTCCACCCACAAAAATAAATCTTGAAACACTTTGGGGAAGAATATATATAAGAGCATGCAAAAATATAGCATAAACATACATAAACAGTCATGGCTACAGTGGTGTTAATGATTGTGTGTTTGATGTTCGAAGTTACTATACTTTCACCACCACCAAAGATAGGAAAATTTTTTTTTTGTTTGGTGCCAAGGATCAAGCTCAGGGTCTCACATATGCAAAAATAAGTGCACTACTGCTGAGCTGCTTCTCTGGCCCTCCAAAATTAATTCTTTAGGGGTCACACCTGAAAGTGTACTAGACCAAGTCCATACACGATAAATACAAAACTTAATCACTTAATCACTTAACTTCCCGTTAGTCGTCGATTTGCTCGAGCGGGCGCCAGTAACGTCTCCATTTGTCCCTGTCGCGTGCTAGTGTAGCCCAATGGCATCTGTTCGCTCCGGGAACATGAAGGGCCTCAAACCGATCGTTCATGATCTTGACGAAGAAGTCTGACCATCTGGTAGGTGGGCGGCCACGCGGTCTTTTGACATCCCGTGGAATCCAGTCGGTAACAGCTCTAGTCCAGCGGTCGTCTTTAAATCTCGTTACGTGACCAGCCCATCTGATTTTCGACACCTTGGCAAATGAGACAGCGTCCCTGATTCTTGATCGTCGACGGATGTCAGAACTCCGGATTCTTTCTCTCATTTGAGTGATACGTGATATTCCAAGCATAGCTCTTTCTATTCTTCTTTGGGAGACCTGAATAGCGTTCTCATCTTGTTTGCGTAGGGCCCAGGTCTCTGAGGCATATGTTAATGCAGGAAGAACAGTGGAATCAAAGAGATGTGCCCGGAGCCGGAGGTTCTTCGTCCTCTTAGCTATTTCTTCGACGTTCTTGAAGGCGTTCCAAGCTGCTCTCTTCCTCCTGTGCAGCTCGGGTGCCAGGTCATTTGTCATGTTGACCTCTCGACCTAGGTACACATAGCTGTTGCATTCGGAGATGGTTGTTCCGTTGAGAGCGAATGGGGCATCAGGAACGAGGCTGTTTCTCATAAACATTGTCTTTGTAAGATTCAGCTGTAGTCCTACCTTTCCACACTCACGGTCAAAGTCGGCCAGCATTTGTGCCGCTTGGCTGATGTTTGGTGTTATTAAAACAATGTCATCAGCAAAGCGGAGGTGGTGTAATTGCCGACCATCTATCCTCACTCCCATTCCTTCCCATTCCAGTCGTCGCATGATGTTCTCGAGGGTGGCACTGAAGAGTTTCGGTGAAATGGTATCACCCTGCCGCACCCCTAGGATGAGAAAAAAAAATGCAAAACAAAAGGATCTTTATAACTAGCTCGAGCCAGCGCTAGCCCAGGCAACTGGCAGTACTCAGGGGCTACTAAGGGTCATACTCTGTGGTACTGGGGCCACATTCAACAGTGCTGTTTGGAGGGGAGGCATGAAATATTGGAGCTCATACTAGGGACCTTACACATGCTAGGCACCTGAGCTATCTTTCTTGACCTACATAGGAAGC